AGATGCAACCATACTTGTAGAAGCAAGATTGTTGCGTTCTACAGCATCCACTTTAATTAGACAATATAGATTTGACACACCTTTTAAAGCAATATCAAATAGATAATGTGTCGTTTGAAATAACGTCAAATCTACATCATTCAAATAAACTAGACAATGTAGATTAATGTAACCTGACTTCTACAATTAAAGTTGTATATTCCAAGTTTGAGATTCTTTGGGAGTAATTAAGATTTCGTCTTTATAAAGTGTTATGTACCGTCCATTTTAATTTGATGATGTAGATTTGACTCACATTTTAAAGCAATATCAAATAAGTGGTATTTCATTTGAGATAATGTCAAATCTACACAGTTGAAATAAATAGAAGATGTTGATTAATGCAACCTGACTTCTCCAATTAAAGTTGTATAGTTCCAATTTTGAGATTCTTCGGGAGTACTTAAGGTTGCATCCCTGATATAAAGTGTTCTACACCATCCATTTTAATTGGATGGTGTAGATTTAAAACATCTTTTAAAGCAATAGCAAATAAGTGGTGAGTCATTTGAGATAATGTTAAATCTACACCGTTCAAATAAAATAGATGGTGTAGATTAATGCAACCTTTTACAATTAAAGTTGTATAGTTCCAATTTTGAGATTCTATGAAACCGCCTCTGTTTGACTATTCCTGAACCTTGTAGTGAATCTTCCATTTTTACCCTCCAAAATAAACACTAACCGTCATGCCCTGTTCTCACTGCAAATCCTGGATAGCAGCAATCATCTGAGGCTGTACATTCCATTGTCATTGACATGAAAAGGACTAGACAATGCTCAGCCTATAGGCTTAGACTAGCTATGCATAGCCATGTACAGTTCACATGCAAATAAAATGGAGACTAGAATTTCAATTTTCTAAATTTGGCCTCTTTTGGTTCACATGAACTTTGCCTATGACAATGGCATATCCACTAGGTCTGCCGCTTGACATGATATGTTGGGGCAATTGATTTCATGAATATGGCCTAAAAGCCTTACCCCAACAGCTAACTGTCACATAATTTATTTGAATAGCTATGCATAGCCATGTACAGTTCACATGCAAGCAAAATGAAGACTAATATTCCAAATTTCTAAATTTGGTCTCTCTAGGTTCACCATGAATTAGCCTAAGACAATGGCGTATCCACTAGGTCTGCCACTTGACATGTTATGTTTGGGCCATTGACTTCCATGAATATGGCCTAAAAGCCTTACCCCAACAGCTAACTCTCACATAATTTACACAACCAAGCAAAAGACATGGCCAGAGAGTAACAACCATGTGCAAGCCAACAACTCAAACTCTCGAAGTCAAATATAGTCTTTTTCCTTGGAATCACATGGTGGGGCATGGAGTTGGTCATGAGCCTAGAATAGGGTGTGGTCCAGTATCAAAGATGGTATGGTTATACAAAAGTTTGAAATCAGGAAATGGTAACGGCTTCGAATGGGGGGACGAAACATCATTCAACTCTGATGCCCGATTTACAGAAAGCTACATGACGGAAGTCGAGAGAAAAGGCGAAGCCGACACAGATTGTGATTCAAAATCGTCAAAATTTCAAATCATGGGCCAACAATGCGCTATTCACGCATTGTTGGGGGATGCAAGAATAACATGCTGGAGACTTTATGCCACAATATATATGAAATGAATCATCTTTGTAAAAGCATTTTTTAAAAAAATTTCCTCATAAATGTTCGGAAGTCGAAATTGCAAAGGGTTATCCTCCTAAGCAAAGTCTTATCCGCAAATAATAAAATAAAGCTCAAGGTTGAATCATAAATTGAACATACAATTGAGCCATCATTTCAATTTCAGACTCCAAATGATTGATCACTCACAACCATAGGCATGGTAGATTGAAAGAAACAAAATGTTTGATGCATGAAGTTTTAGGTGCAGCAATTTGTTTCAAATGTTTTTCATTACATAGTGATCTCCAATTCCGATTTCTCCATGATCTAGAACACCACTATCATTAATCTGAAAAAATTGGGCTTTAAAAATAGTCTACTTTGCACTTTCCTCGTAGATGGTTCATTTTAATTTTTAAAGACAACTAGATCTGCATTATTTTTAGAGCTTTAAATTCATAAGGCAAAAAAGGATTTACAAAGACTTGGATGTGTTTCTGGTCCTAAATCCTTTAGATACAAGGCAGCCGCATTGTTCAAGTAATAAAAATAGTATGTAAAGCCACAAATAAGGTTTTCATATCGGAAGGCTTATACATTGAATTTAAACCCCATGCACAAGTTTTCCAAAATTTTTGAAAAATAACACACTAGCAACCAATCAGCGAAAAAAACCCAAAATGCTAGATAGAAATCTTCTGAAGAATTGAATATGGAAGACTAATCTTCAACTAGAATGAAATTATGCCGAAAAGGTTGATACTTATGTCACAGTAAATATCATTCGTTCATAATATTTCTTTAGAAGAAAATGACCAAAATACCCCAAACAAAACTTGGCCTCAAGCATTAACAAGAAAAGGATACAAAAGAAAAAGATACAACAGGCCCATTGAAAAGACTCTATGTTGATGGAACTCACCAGTTACAGTCAGTTGTTAAGGCCATCCATGACAAGATGACCGCTTATCTTCTAAAGTCTGGTCTCCCAAAACTTTAAACCACACTTGAATACCACACGAGGAATATGCGCATGCAATAATTCATTGTATGGCATTCAGGCCCCATACATTTTTGTCATAGCCACGATATCTCGAATAGCTGTTTTGTGCTAATACAGTTATCAAAATCTCTTTCACCTATACAAAATGAAAAGACAAGTATGGCAGCAAATTAAAAGCAATCAAGAGGAAAATCAAAGTTTTATATACCCAAAAGAAATGACAACTTCAAAGCTGCATGAGTGAAAGATGATTTACTTGAATGAAATGCACCTTCAGATATGAAATCCAAAGCAGGTAGAATGTATTACACATGATTATTATGTAATTTACTACTTATCAGAACCTACATAAATGAATAAACTACCCCTATACAGTATGAATTATGGCCGCATCCAATTGTTAATGATAATCTCTGATAACCCCCATCAAAAAACATCTCTCTGTATGACCACCCAAAAAAGCAGGTCTTATCGGACAAGCAAGCATCCTGTTACTGCCACAACAGACCAAGGGCGGTCAAGCATCACAGCTTTTGTGTCCATATTTGGAGGCCCTTCATTTGCTTATTATTTCTTATTCAGCTCAAAAGATGTATCAAGAACGCTGTTATTTGTACAAGCCACATATTGGCGCCAACTCGAGCATGACCAAATGAATAGCGTTTTGCTGCACTGTAAAAGACAAGTGAATAGCCCAAATCCTTCAAGTGAAATTGGCTCAAAAACAGGGCTTTGGGTATAGCTGATGTCACCTTGTCAAAGCCTTGGAGACTTGAACAACTCTTCCACCACATTTCAGACTAATGCATGGATTAGAGGTAGCCTTTACACACGCCTGGCACAAAGCAAGCTTTGTCGCTGACAACCTTGCAAATGAGGGGAGTAACCAAATCTGAGATCCTCATCATCCACCCACCCCAATACCAATACAGCACAGAAACCATGTGATGGCATTTTTCCCCCATCATCTAAGTCTTAAACATATGACACATACATCTTTGTATACATTTTTCCTTTATTTGATAGCTCCTGATTCTAAGTGCATTGTCCAAATTTTTTTCAGAACCATACAAAAATAGCTAAGTATCAGGAAAAAAAATTAGAGAAATTGGCTCAAACACTGAATTTGCAAATGACCATTTAACCATCTTTTATGAGTAACACATCAACTGCATATATCAATCGATTAGGACATCAAAGATGAGTAGGTCACACAGGAAATTTAGGAGCTGCATGAATTCAACTCATAATGAATTCCTCAATCAAGATGGAAATGATTGTTTGAGACCACAAACACCTAAAATGGACCTCCGATGTGCTTGTCAGGAAGCAGTCTCATGCCTATTTCATATATGTTCCCTTAGAAAATTATCTTCACATCGATACAGAGAAATTGCGGCGCAGCAATAACTACAATGACAGCCAAAGCTATAATTGCATTTGAAATGGGTAAGATCTCTTCTTAACTATCATTACACCTATCATCATCACAACCCTGTTTGCGACCAGTGTTACATGCCAAGATAAATCCGCATGCCTCTAGTGAAAACTTATACATCCTAAAGAATAACAATGAAAAAAGAAACATCAATTTGAAGAAGCTCAATCCTACTACCCATGACCTCAACCACACAGCAATACAAAACCTAACCCCTTTAAAAAGCCTTCTTCCCTATCATATTGTTACCCCCCATGAAAAGCAGATTGTACAACTGGATCACAAACACAATCATAGTCAATAAAAAACACATGATATCAAACAAAAAGGTCCTAAGAAACAAACCAAGTTGGAGGAAGAATAAACATCATGTCATTTCCACAACACTCTTATGTACATGATTATATTTGCATTTTCTTAGATGCATCAAGAGGGTTCTCTTCTATACATGTACAGTCCCTTACAATTGTATTTGTCAACATTCATTAAATGAAAACAGTTTTCGAAAAAAAAAAGATAAGAACACGAGAAGACCAATAGCTCCAAACATGGGTAAAATAAATACAGGACCGTTGAATCAAGTATGGAGGGCAGTCATTGAAAAATCGGGGAGTAGGATAGGAATCGCCTGATCCAACTCGGAACCATGGGTCACCAGTTCCATATGGCTCCGAATTGGTGAATCTCCCTGGTTCACCCTAAATCTCCTGTTCAATGTAGAAAACCGGATAAATTTTATGGGAAAAATTGGGAGCCGGGAGATATCTCAAAATGCCCTGATTTTAACTCAATTATCTGACTATCTTTTTGTCCAAAGTCATTCTTCTGCCATTTAATTCATTCCTACCCTTTTTAAGCCAGATCTCTTACAGAAAATCTTGATTCCAATTCACTGGTGGTTTCCATTTCACTTCAGCACAACTAGGTTTGATTTTTTGAACTCTATTTTGAGCTTCTTTTCAATGTTTTCAAGCAGAATTTGGGATTATTTTTTTGCCTGGCATGTGAGCATGGAATAGTGGGTTTCTCCTCAATCTGCTGAAGAAGAGTTTCCAATTGCAGTTTTTCATTACATTTAAATCGAATGAAGGTTCACAACTTCTATGCAGCTGATGAATTGGAATGGATGTTTCCATTCTAAACCAATGCAATCGGGGTTAGTTTACTGAGTGCAATATTTCAAGGGCCTCATTCGATGTTCGCAAGCTTCAAAGGAACTCCTGCACTTAGAACTTCTCACTTTCTTCAAGAGCCCAAGACCAGCTAATAAAAGAGGTCTCCAATGAGCACCAGCCCTTTGGCACTTCTAGCTTGAAATGGAACAACAACAAAAAAAGAAAATAACAAGATTCCTTTTTTTGGTTAAATCGGCAGGGAAAGCCATTTTTTAAAAAATTTCACATTTTTTCACATCAATTTGTGACAGATCACCCCCAAATTGAGCGATCCGACTAGGAATCAGTTATCTGACTTGGCTTTTCGAGGTGATCAAACAATCACCAGTTTCCATTTTTTAAACACTGAAGGAAGACCTTAAGTGGGTCAGATGAAACAACAAGCAAATGTGAGTTCCTCAAGTCGGACAGACGATCCAACAGTGATGTCAACAGTCATACCATACTAGAAAACATAGTTTTACGGAGGTGAATGAGTTTTTGAGAATCTGTAAGGCAAAGAAGTAGGCTCTTTAAAGCCATTGAGGCTCACATATAAAAAAACAGAGGAAAAAAATTAACATTCAATCCCTATTTCTCTCTTAAACCTACTGCTCAAGATATCCTAAGACTATAAACCACTTTTATTTGGAGGACAACTGACTATATCCTAGGGATGCCTCCCACTAAAGTGGAAATTGGAGTTCTTATCCTACAAAAGGGGCTTTCCAACAGCAAAAACCCCTCCTCAGTAACAGCTTTGAAGATGCTTCCACAAGCTTGACTTCAGGTAACAGACATAACAAAGGCTGCATTTCATAGGGCTCTGCAAAGCCAAAGCACTCTGGCATAAGACACACACCATGCATCCCCAAGGATATAACTAACATCATGAAATTCAGACTTGTTAAAACCACATAAAAAGTGAGAATCACAAAAATACCCCAAACTCACATATACCCTAACACAATATGAATAATGCCCAAGTACAACTATGAACATCCTCTGAAAAATGAACACTAAGATTTATGAACTCCAAATCTATATTTAAGATTTAAACATCGCTACAATGATAGGAAAAAGAAGTTTGATGTGCTCAACATAAAATAAAGAAGAGTAATAACATGCCATATTCACTGTATAATGCCATATCCACTGCATGACTTCACGTTGGTTCCCATCCTAGTAAATAAGATCCTGAGATATGTCATCCCATGGTTGGTAGCTTCTCGTCTTCTATTGATAAACCATCCAAATAAATTAACCAACGATAAGGAATGGAGTAGTTATCAAGATTCACCGTAACGGCGAAAACCAATGCTTAAAAGCTTGGTTAAGTCAGACACAAACTTGCATGAGTCAACAGGAGGGAATCAAGTCACCCAACTCGCCCCACTGGTAAAAAATGACGAAACTCCCTAAGTTCTTAACACTAGCCAAGTTGGATCCAAGTCTGTCAGGGTCTTAAAAAGAGCCATGAATATTCTTAAAAATATATAACTTTTATGCAATAAGAGTCGCTGAATTTCAGTCAGCACTCAGCAAGCTGATTCACCCATGGTGAATCCATGTTTCTAAACCTTGGTGCAATACAAAAAGACAAATATTCACCAACCAAAAAAAAAAAAACTCCAAGAAAATAGAGTAACTAAGAATAAGAAGAGGCCTCTGCCACAAGCAAAGCGTCTGGATATCCTCCTCACCAGGACGTTAACATCAGCATTTGATTATCTGAAAACCATATTGAAAAGATATACTGCCACTGGTCCAGCTAAGGAGTGGGGAATACAAGAACATCAATCACCAGAGCCTTAGCTTCGGCAAACGGCATTTCTCCAATACCCAAATTACCAGCAAAGGCAAGTAATCCAGACACTGAAGAATCTGTGCGAAGACCTCCCAATGTCGAAAGGCATGAATTACCAAGAGGGCTACCATCAAGGTTAAACTTGGAAGGGCAGATTCCAAGTGGTGCGGTCGAGTTGTGTAAAACTATATCGCGAATCACTGAGCGTCATCATCAAAGAAAAGACAAAGCATGCATTCCACACAAATCTTTGTGACCCAGAACAGAAGATATTGGGCACCTTAACCTATGATGAAGCTCTAGACCCTCCTTATTGAGCAATAGCCATCCAGCCACACCTTTAAAGAGAGAGAATCCACTGTAGGAGACGCCTGATGGGTAACAAGGGTGGCTACAAAAGTCTGAACTCCTTGAAGAAATGCAATGTGTAGGAAGAAATCAAAGATGCTTCCAACCGTTAGTCTCTTATGTTATATACGTAGGTAGGCCAATGAACTTACCATTCTCTAGCTAGTATAGAGGATCAAAAACCAAATGTAAAGAAATAATCTTAGCATCTGCAATCAATTTAAATCATGTTACACCTTTAGAATTACAATAGACATGCATGACCTAGGTTAGAAAGAACATTCCCTGAAAAGTGAGCACGTCGATGGTCCAATCTATAGTTTTGAAATCTGAAATCCAAAAGAATGACAGCTAAGGAATTTCCAAATGATTATCAACATAAAGAATAGCCTGAACATAAAATTACATTCAAGTGTATGCTTTGCATTGCTCATAATTTTCTTCCACTCAACAAGCCTTACCTCAAACACATGCAACGCAACAACCAACTTTGCAGGAATATGCAGCACATGATTAATTTGATCTTTTATTTCATGGTGCCATTGGCGCACAGATATCTAAGTAAATACTCATTTGAGGAACAAGTTTCTGCCAAATCCTGATGAAGCCTGGTCATTGACTTTTGTAAAGATCTTAAAGATGGAAGTAAGTTTCTGTAGTTTTGCTGTATAGTATGACCATGAGATTTGCAAAGCTCCTGCGCTCCACAAATAAACCATTAATACCTTCAAAATGGTGCATCTAGATATAATGGAAGCTAGACAAAGTAAGAGTTGAGCAACAAACCTGACACCATACAAGGACAAACTCCAAATGTGGAGCATTATCAAGAAGATCAGCAAGTGTTTCCATTAACCTGTTTAAATATCTCGTAGGAACAGAAGCAGCAACAGTTGAGACATCTGGTGGCTTCACAGCAAAAATGCATCTTTTGATTATTTTGTCGTCATTCAAACGCAGACCAAGAACTAATGCCCTCAAATGCTGGCCTTCACTTAGAGCAGTCTCAACTGCCTGATCAACAAGGAGGACCAAAGAAAAGTCAGAAAAACTTCACTCACTAAAATAACATGAATAAAAAAGCCTCAAACCAATTCTTTAGCACGCAAGCCAAGAAAAGGAGATTGTGACCACAACATAACAAATTTGATAAGAAAAAGAATGTCCAAAATTCAGCTAACAATCTTCTTGAATTTGACAATCAAGCTCTGATTGATTCACTCTGCCTATGCTTGGAAAGCATAGATATACTTCTGACCAGATTTCTGAAACATAAAGTTCAAAATAATCTCTTACCAGCCCCTGCCCATAGTCAAATACTTTATATCTTTTTGGCTAGGTAAATCATTAATAAGGGATTGAATCCACAACTTAATGGTTAGCACGGGGCTCCATAGCACAGCATCACAAATGTAGACCATAATAAACAAGTCAATACAACCCTTTTGGAAACTAAAATGCAGAACCACTACCCGTACCTTTTCTTTTTAGGATTTAAAATGTTTTTTCGCTTGGAATCATCTAAGGGGTCAAAATCTCTTACAGAGTTATTAGGGGATCAAAACACCCGAATTAACGTCGGAGAGTTTACTTTTTCACTTTTCATTTCACTCAGGTACCTTCTCAAATAAAATAAAATAAATTAAAATGCCCATATTGCCCCTGTTCAGGATTGGGAACTCCTAAACAAGTAAGGGCATTTGGGTAATTTGATCCACTCAAGAGGCCAGCCCTGAACATGTAGGCACATCTAGGTAATTTGGCCCCCCTAAGACGCCCCAACTAAATGATGGGAGCACCCTACTTGTTTAGGCTTGGTCAAATTACTGAAACACCCATGCTTGTCCAAGGTTATGAACCCTAAATAGGGGCAATTTGGGCATTTTTATGATATTTTTAAGTAGCAAAGTGAAATGAATACCAAAAAGTAAACCGTTTAGAGCGTTTAATGCGGAATTTCTTTTGGGCTGGGGAGCAAGGAAACAAATACCATCTTATAGCCTAGGATAAGTTGTGCTTCCCTAAATCCTTGGGGGATAGAAAGCATAATATGGCCCTCTTGGCCAAATGGTGGTGGATTTTACCACCCAACCAGATCTCCTTTGGAGGGAGGATATCAAGTTCAAATATTGTTTTGGCCTCAACCATTGGACACCTGCAGTGTTTGAAAATTTGGCCGCCCGACCGCCTAGGCGAAAAAAATTCAAAAACTATCTAAGCGTTGTCTGGGCGGGGTCATTATGAGGCCTGTCACTAGGCGCTAATGTCTGGGGGCCTGCCTAGGCACCACCCCATGACAACTTGTGGGCGATGGAAAAAACTCATGAATAGGGTTAAAAAAAAGTCATTTTTCTCCCCTAAAAAGGGGGGCTAATGGGCTTTAGGGGGTATTCTAAACCCCCAAAAGTAAAACCGTGGCTTTTAGGGTGAGAAAAACTCCCCAAAAACCACTCTTTTGAGATTTATCGAAATATCGATAACTTTTTGATTTTTTCGATTGCTTCCCAAAACAAAGGCAATAGTTTGTGGGTGGATTTGGAGCTTCTAGTAGTTGATTTAGAGAATTTTTGACAACCCAATAGACGAAGTTTGCACCGACATCAATATGACTACGATAGTTTTAAAGTATCATCATATTTTAAAGAGCGTTTTAATTTTATCTTACTACAACATATTACGTTATGAATCATATGTTTTTTCTTTTACTTTTTTCCTTTTACATTACATTTACATATTTGTAGTTAAAAGATTGATTTTTTTTTGTGATTAATGAATTTCTTCTCATTTCAACGATAACATTGAGCATATATTGTATTCTTATATGAATAGTTGTTTCCGTTTTTGTACAATGCGTCATGTTTTGATATTCTATTTCTATTATTTTTGTTTTACTTTATTTGATAAATAATTGATTATGTGATATCTTAATGCGTTAAGTCATATGTGAAAGTGAAACTACGACCTTATATATTGAATTAGGGCTCTAAAATTGCCCTAAGAACTCCCTAAAGCTTTAAACCATGCCCTAAGAACTCTCTTAGTTTTTATGTTTTAGGGAGGGGGGGGGGGGGTTTTGATTTTGGTGAGGGCACCTGTCTTTGGGCGCCTGCCTAAGCAAAGACACCCAAACCGCCTAGGCGGTTGAATGTCTTTTTGAACGCTAGACACTTGAATGCAAAACCAGCGGTAATATTTCTGGCTTTTGGAGGTCAAACCTGCGTAGCCATGATTTCTTCCTTCAAAATATTCGGTTCCGGCCAAGAGAGGGAATGCAGGTGAAAGTTTGGACAGATGTGTGGTGCGGCCATGCCCCTCTCAAGGAGCAAAATCCCAATCTCTTCACTCTAGCCTGCAATTGCCTCTCTTCGGCGGCAGATAACTTTTCTACTTCTGGTTTATAGAGATCCTAGTCACCTGATTTTAGGAGACCTCTCTTTGAGCATGAGTTGGAGGAGTTCTATTCTATGGCTGGTAGAATGCACACGGTGTTCATTCCACTCTCTAGTGCTGACGAATTATTTGGGCCCCATCCCCCTCAAGTTCATTTTTGGTCTCTTCATTTTATCATTCCTTTACCTCCTCCTCATACCCCTCTAGCCCCCTCAATACCTTAGCTTCCAAAGCCTGAAATCCCTTCCTTCCTCCTAGGAAACAGGTGCTTTTGTTGGTTAGATTGTTAACAATGGATCAGCTTCAAAGGAGAGGAATTCAAACCACCAACAGATGTGCTATGTGTTTCGAAGATGAAGAATCCAACGATCTCCTCCTTCATTGTGAGTTCTCGAGAACAATTTGGAGTAGCATTCTGACTTGGTTCAATTGGGTTTGGGTAACTCTCAGATCTATCCCCCACCTTTTTCAAACTTTCATCCAAATACCTTGTCCAGGGAAGCTCATGTGGAAAGCTTTCATTTCTGCCATGGTGTGGGTTCTTTGGATCGAAAGAAATCATAGAATTTTCAGGGGAGAGAGATTAACAGCCAAACAATTGGTCGAGAAGGTCAGGAATCTGGTGGCCTTCTGGGCCAGCAATCACCCTTTATTTAAGAATCTATCCTTCACCGACTTCCACAGTAACTGGTCCAGTCTAGGGCTTCCCTTCAGAGACTATAGTATATATATATATATATATATATATATATATATATATATATAG